ATTCCTTGTCATTCCGCATCCATAATTTCTTCTTTATTTTGCCCGTTCTGGGTCACAAACAGCAGGAGATACTTATCTTACTATGATCCATCTTCTTGAATTGCCGTTAAGTCAGAACTAGCATTGTAAACCTGACATTTCCTTCAGATGTTTTTTATTATTAAGCCTTGTTCTTAAGGTATCTTTTTCATGGTTCAGGCAAGGTCGCTTGTTCTTTGTGACAAAAATATAATTACAGGCACAACACAGTATTGATGGGACTACTGGCAGCTTTGCTTCCTGAGCTCACCATAAATCTTGTCTAGATCCTGAAGACACTGGTCTTTCATTTATTTGATTGACTGACTGACTGATTTATTGATACCCTGCCTTTTGTACATGGGTTCAAGGTAGCATACTCAGTGCTCCCTCCTCCACAACGACCCCGTGAAGTAGGTTGGACTAAAGGAGAATTACTGGTCCAAAGCCACCCAGTGAGCTTCTCTGGCTTAGTGAAAGATTAGAACTCCCCAGTGCCAGTCCAGTACCCTAACTGCTTCACCATACTGGTTTTCCTTTTACCTTTGTTTTCAAGGCAAAGCAATACTCTTTTGACTCTGAGAACCAGATACTCCTACATCACAACAAATGATATGATGGGCCTATTCTTGGATAGTACTCCAGGTGGAGGGAGAGTTTGATTTGAATGCTTTTCCTTGGCTTCCTTCAATGTCTCTAAAATTGGCATATCAAAGAAAGAAGTGGACTGCAGTCCTTATCTGTGACACCTGCTTTTCTGTGTACATGCTTTCTTTACATTGGTATAAATTAGTTTAGAACTCCCTGGAGATATAGATAAACATGGCTAGAATCTAAATCTTTACTCTAATTCTGCAATGATAAAGAGTTGACATCCTTGAGAAGATTGGAGAGATGGTACAGAATTTATGGCACCCAGTCCTCCTTCAAATTCTGTGCACATTTTTTTCTATACATCACCTTATGAAGAGAAATTTTAGCCTTCCTCTTTTCATGCCCAAAGATTCATTCATTGAAGGAAGTCACATCACATGCTTACATTCTTTACATTCTGGCTCACTCCTGCCCAGACTATTTCTTCCTGGCCACTGATAGAGCCCTAACACTTCAAACATTTATTTGTGTAAGCTGTTATCTATTGTCTGGAAAGATATAGTTGAGAATTGAGTAGACTGCATTAGCGATGGTTAAAAAAGTTCTTGTTCCTCCTCCATATAGTGGATCAAGTTATTTACAGGTAGAACACCAAAGACGTATGTCCCTGACCTTTCTTCTTATGGCTTTGTAAAGCCAAGTGAATGGAGTAGAATCTGATCAATGCATTATCAATCAGCTTTGTAAAGCCTCTAGCTAGGATGAGGGTTGGTACCACAATATGGAAGAGGGTTGAACCTTCAAACTTATCAAAATGCCACTTGTTATCTTCAAAGTATTTGAACCATCTTATAACTTCTTTCAGACATGCTGGACAACAACTTCTATCAGCCTCAGTCAGGACATCATATTGAAAAAACTATTCTGGTTTAATCTGAACCGTAGAATAGAGTTACTAATTTATGAGCTATCGTGCTTTGAATAATTGCTCAAAGCAATTATTTAGTCTGTAGCCCCACTGGATGTTCACCCACTCTCGGTAATGGGAAAATAGTTGTCCATATTCAGATTCTTCACTATGTGATAGGTGTGTTTGTATGTATCCAGGTCCAACCGTTTGTAATCTGTATGCAATTATGAAAATAATAGTTTGATCCAATGTCTTCATATTACTTTATTAATATATAATTGAAGGGAGAAAAGGCTGATACATACTAAGGAAAATATATTTAAAAATTAATACTCATCATGGGGGGGCTTACAACAGGGGTTGGTGACTTGGTGCCTTCCAGTTGTTTTTGATGTGACTTGCATCCATTCTTTCCATTAACCAAGTGTAGCTACAATACATCTAAAATATACCAGACTGGCAAATTTAAAATTAATCATACTTGGTTTCGTCCTGGCCCTATCCATTTGTAGTCCCCAAGTGATATTATACATCCCTAATATAGAAGAAAATAGGACAAGTATTTATCAGCAAGAACTGGTAATTGGCCTGTTAGTTTAGTAAAGTTTATTGTCAAGCTTTTTAGGTAGTTAAGGTTTAGGGGTAATGCATTACAATAGGCAAAATTCTGCACACAGCCAGTGCAAAATGTCCACTGTCAAATATATATGTACTTCTTTTCTGGATAATAAATTAGATCACATGATAGGATGTGGTAGCTATGGTACCAGAAAACCCTCTATTGTCTTTTAGGGACTCCATCGCTATTTCTTTTTTGGATCAAAAATAATGAGACACAGATCTGTCAGTGCTGAAACAGTTTGAGCTTGTTGTTCCTCAGTGTATTGTTCTCTGGTCACAAACTAGAAATCTGTATAGTTCTATCCGTCATGTGCTTTCTCTTCCCCACATGGCTGAAAGTTAATTTGGCTACTACTCAAATAGTAGATATAAATAATAAGGCATCTCTCTCGCCTATAATTATCCTTTTAATTCTAATTTTCCATGAGGGTGCTGGAAAAAGTTCTATTTGTTGTATTTTTGCCATCTCTTTTTGCTAAAGAAATAGATCTGCTTATTGTAAAACAAAAGGGTCAGTTAATCAGAATATCAATCTAAACTTTCCTTGCTAGTTGTAGTGGCACAAGCAATGATATAAATTAGAAAGATGCACTAATTAGCTTAGTCATGCAGTAATCTACTGGCTAAAACTAATATGAGGATTGCCTTATAATTTTTGAGTTTCATAACTAGTTTCCTGGTCAGTTCTATCTGAGATTCCACCAGAACCTGCCTTATACCAGGTTAGACTACCTGTCCATCTAGCCCATAATTACTGTTTTCTCCTTTCCATCACCTATTCCCAATCCTTTCTAACTGGAGACTTACTAGGAGTTGAAACTAAGAACTTCTATACAACAGCTGTTATCTATCATTGATTTGTGGTTCCTACTGATGCCCAATGTGGATGCCAAAGAAACTAAGCATGTTGTTTCTCTCCTTCCTTCCTTCCTTCCTTCCTTCCTTCCTTCCTTCCTTCCTTCCTTCCTTCCTTCCTTCCTTCCTTCCTTCCTTCCTATTTTAGATATTTAGGTACTGTATTATTAAACCATTAATAGTTCTTCATCCTCCAATTTGGAGAGGTGAAATGCAAGAGGCATCCATAAAAGCAGCAGCAACACTGATGGTTAAATCAGCCCAGAGGTTGAGCTCTGATACTTTTGTAATATCACAGTTTAATATGAAAGGGTCTTTCACACCTGCTTAATCACAATTTGCAGCTTGGTAAATGCAGCACTGGCTATATTCATAGGCCTTCCTCCTACATAGCGCTTTGGCAAAAGCAAACAAAATTATGGCTTAGCATTATATATGAATCAGAGTATTGACCAATTATTAGAACAGCATTTTATAAATATCACTTACATTTAATCAGGGACAGCAATAAGAGATATTGCTCCTGAGAATGTTCATTCTACTGTCATATGTGAATAAAATATGAGTTCTAGGAAATCCGTTAGTTGAGTACTTTCTTTAAAAAGAAACCCTCCCCTATGTGGGTTTTTTATTGTTGAGTTTTGTATTACTTTGTCCCTCCCTGTCTTCCAGAAAATATCCTGTGCTTCAAACACTATGATATAGGATTAATTTATCCTTTTAAAAAGGTTACAGAAATTTTGATTGACCTGGCCACCTGAGTGGAAGATTTAGAAATCCAAGTTCGTGTGTGTACTAATTTTCCAATCTAATGGGAAAAAATCCTTTGAAGAGCACTTCAGAATAAACATCAGTAAATTGGTGTTTTCTTGGTATGTAGGATTTCTTCTGAAAATCACAGTTAGGAAATCAAACAATATACAGACTTCTAGACATCCTGGAAAGTTCATTGACATGTGGGAAAGGGCTAATTCACAAATAATTACTTTTTCCTTCCTGATAATAATGTTGCCCTCAAAATGGAGGTCTTTTCTGAAATTTGCTCCTGCCAAGATCTCCACCTTTCTCTCAGTCACAGCCTTCCATCTGCAAAGAGGGATAAGATTGATTTTTCTTAAAAGTTTTTAAAATAATGCATTATTTATTGATCTATTTACTTATTTAATTACTGTTTTGTTTAGCACCCAATAGTCAAAGCTTTCAGCAGGCTACAACATCAAAGATTCAAATCCATAAAAATACCAAAAGTCTTAATCTAAAGATTAAAAATTTAAAACAAAACAAAATTAATGTTTTGAACACATGAAGATGATAAGTGCCTAAATATACCAGATATGTAATCATTATGCCATCCTAAATTGAAGAGAGACTGGTTGTTTATCTTCCATAGCAGTGAGTGAAAATGTAGTTGCAGTACAGATTGGGTCCTGGTTTCCCTGTCAGTTAAATACTACAATGTCAACAGCCTCCGGTCACTAACATTCAGAAATAGCTGAGCGGCTGATTCCAAAAATTTAGTTGCAAACTGGAAATAAACTGTTGGCTTCCCTTTTAGGAAGCTGAGTTTGTTTCTGGACATTGATGCCAGAAGGATCCAAAACACTTGGACGCAAAATAAAGTATGGGGAGACTGAGCTCCTGTTCAGAGAACTGGCTTGAGTCTATTAGAAACTAGAAGCACACTTTCTGTGCTTACCCTGCTGGTCACTGGGTCCAAGAAAAATGAAGGTGATTGCGGTCTGGTTCTGGTGCAAATACGCAATATGCTTTTTGGAATGGCTTGAAAATTGATTTTTCTCAACATTTCAAAAGTGGGTGTGTAATTTGAGCAGCAAACCAAGTTCTCCTAAGTTTCCTGCCTATGTGCTTTTCTGGTTTCTCTTACTGCAGACGAGCCCGTCGGGTGCTGAAAATAGCTCAAATGCTTCTAGAACAGTAGCAGCAGCCAGCAGCTGAAATTCTTTCCTGCTCTTATCGCCTTCTCTTTTTCTCTTGATTGCAGGTTCTTGTTCTTCAGTTAAACTTAGACCTTTAGAGGAACTAAGCATTAAGAGAAGACCGGGTTAACAAGATCTGGATGTACAAGAACAAAAATACTAATATCTCCGACATCTGAAAAACAGGAAGACTCGTCTGACTGGTAATTCTCTCCTCCTTTTGTGTTATGTATGTTAAGGATCTGCAGTTTTGTTCTGCATTCTTAGCTGACATTCCTAGACCATAAATTATCAATCTATAAGAACCTGCAACAAAGAGTTATGTTTCTTTCTTTCTCTCTCTCTCCGTATCTCTCTCATACGCACACACCCAACACAACTTTTGTGATGGTGGGTGACTTTTGTTAAATTCTTAATAATTATTCAGAAAAAAAAGTTATCAAATGCCAATTATATTCTCAGTTTATTCTAAGGGGAGAATGATTTTAGTCTCTTGAATTTCTATCTTCTGTCTGATTATTGCATTTAAAAAGATTTAAACAAGTGTAAAGTTGGCAGCAAATGATTTGCTCTTCAGAATTGGACATTTATTTGGGAAAGCCTAATTTCTGCAGTATGCTGATCAAATCAGCAAAATCCTAAAGGAGGGTGTTTTTTTTTTCTGTCCACCATATCCTGATACAATACCTGTTTTGGATTCATTTAAGTTTCTCAGTAAACCACTGCCAGCCAACAGCCGCCTGTATGTCAGGTTTGTGGTGCAAGAAAAGCTGCATCTCTTCCAGAGTACATGAACTGGTTTTGACTTGCCTCCTTCAGTGTTTTTTTTTTTAAGATTTTTTTATCTTGCCTTATATTTTTATAAATAACTGAAGGCAGCAAACATACCTAATACTCCTTCCTCCTCCTGTTTTCCCTACAACAACAACCCTGTGAAGTTGGCTGGGCTGAGAGAGAGTGACTGCCCCAAAGTCATCCAGCTGGCTTTCATGCCTAGGGCGGGACTAGAACTCACAGTCTCCCGGTTTCTAGCCTGGAGCCTTAACTGCTAGACCAAGCTGGCTCTCCTTTTGTTTATTAACTCTATCCTTACCTTGGCTAAAATTCCTTTGGGCCATTCTTTTCTTTGAATAACGATTCATCAATATCACTTCTATCCTCCTTTAGGCCTGTTTTAATCATCCCTTTCTCTTTTCTTTCAAGTCTTTCTTCTGTCTACTGTGCTGCATTTAGCAGACTGATGAATGTTGGGATGGCAGCTCGTTAGGAATGCTGGGAGTTGTTCTCTCAAAACATACAGTGGATGGCAGGTTGGGGAAGGTAGTATTTTATAGTCACCAGCCAAGAATAACAACAGCAATCAGTCACAGGATATCTGCTAGAATAAAGAGGGATTCAGAATTAGAGTAAAAATAGAGAATGACCTTGCAAGATCTTAAAGAAGGGTTGCTGCAAATAAGATGCTCCACCAATATGTTCTTTTCTCTGGAAACTACCAGCTGTATGGTTCTTTATATTTCACTGAGGCAGAGCAAATTTAAGGGGAAAAAATGGTCAGTCAGATGCAACAAAGTGATTGGGGCAAACAGAGAAGAAAGCCAAGCCCTCCCCCCCCCCCCCCC